TCTCTCTCAGTGAGGTGCTCTGTAGGTTTCACCACAACATGACCTCACTCTCTAACACAGACGGAGGAAATCAATAAAGAACATAAACAACGTTCAAGGTCTGCAATTTTGCTTGTTTACTGATTCAAACTTCAGCGTTTACAGATGCACCAGGTCTGAGGGGTCAAGGTTTGGTTGGCATAACTAGTTCACGACTTCACCATCTGCCAGCAAAAAGCAGCTTTCTTCATTGACAGTCATTCAGAATTACCTGTGTATTCTGACAAAAGTTATTTGGAAGCAACATATTGCTAATATTTATTTTTAGTTAGATCTACTCAACTTTGGAAAGCTCATGGCCAGTACCCTGATTGATATATATATATATATATATATATATATAAATTAAAAATCTTTCCGATAATGCAACGAAAATGTAATTATATTTTAAACAACCAAACAGTAATGTCTATTTTGGAAAATACATTAAAGCTGACCAATGAAACCATTAAATTGACCAAGTTTTGAATTATAGGACATTTGAAAGGAATAATTCACCCAAAAATAAAAATTAGCTGAATATTCAGGTCATCCAAGATGTATACGAGTTTGCTTCTTCATCCAAATATATTTTGAGAAATGTAACATTACATTACTTGCTCACCAATGGATCCTCTGCAGTGAATGGGTGCCGTCAGAATGAGTCCAAACAGCTGATAAAAACATTACAATAATCCACAAGACTCCAGTTCATCAATGTGTTGTGAAAAGCTAGGTGATTTTGAGAAACAAATCCATCACAAAGGCATTTTAACTTCAAAACGTTGGTTTTCGCCATAATCCATGATCCATAATAACGCTTCTTCCATTGTAAAATTCTGTCCCACATTAAAATCCACTGACTTGTTTAGAACGGTTTTGAATATTTCTCTCCTCATTCAGATGAAACTACTAATTTGTTCCAACGAAGAAACTAACTCATCTACATCTTGAAATGGCTGAGGGTAAATGCATTCTCATCAGATTTATGACTTTTTGGGCGAACCATTCCTTTAAAGAGATAAAGTAAGTAGTATTCCGCTAGTTGTGCGTGTACACACCACTTTAAACATATTTGCCACAATCAGTGCCATTCATTCAGTTGTTCATGTTAGAGAAATATGTAGAATTTTCAATGGACAACTGACTCCAGGCATCGCCAAGAGACAACACAACTTGTTTTTAAAATGTTTCTTTATTTTCCAAATTCTTCAGTATTTTCTGCCCATTGGCAGGAATGCATAAGAGACAGATTGGCTCAAACTTTGTCACAAGAAAAAAAAAAAGTTTTGCCTTTTCATATTTTGTTAACATCATTGAATCATTTGCAGATCATCATTGTGGTTTTCATATTCTGTTTATCAGAAAAGCTTAGTTTCATCTCCGCACCTTTACTCGATGAGGATATAGTCAGACGCCCTGCAAACAGCAAAGCATTTGGAAGTCCAGAGCTGTACTCAAGCCCATTTCCTCCAAGTGCAGATACAATCACCAATTTGACTTTTCCATTCCCTCTCTCTCCCCATGTATATTTTGGAAATTAGCTCTTGGATATTAGCAGATATTAAAACACAAACAGCAGTCTCCTCAATTGTGAACACCAGTACATTGACATCAATGGCTTCTGCACAGTTTCCCTCTTGTGTTTTTGAATACTCTCTCAAAATACCCAAACCCTTCACTATTACTACTACCAACACACTCACCATTCTTTTCGATATCAAATAACAAGGCAAATAATCGGTGACATTAAAAAAAAAACATTTCTGTATGCAACGCTCCATTCGGCTAACAGGTTTCAGATAAACGAGTATGTTCTTGGAAGTGACAGGTCTATAGAAAAGCCCCGGAGTCTCCAAATTGAGAAATATCCAGGTAGAGAAACACCGGCCACAGTGCAACAAATCCTAAAATCTGAACTCATGCCAAAAGGCCACTATACCTGCATCTGCAGAAGAACAGTCCCCCAGCTTTTTCGTGGATGAAAACAAATATGGAATCATTTCCCTTTCAGAGAACCTACCAACCCACAAAAGGTATATACATACAGGTACACCAATATATACACAATAAAGCCAGCCCTGAATGCAATAATAAAAGTCTGTGAAAGATCGACATCCTTGTTTGCAACTTGTGTAAAGCTTCTGATAGTTGCCCTTTTGATATCAATGGTGTCCTGAAGTTTAAGAGGCCAGATGTTCAGAAGAGCCTAGCTAGTGGCCTCAAATTATTCTGATACTCAAGACCCACTTAAAAATGTCTGAATGCCATTAAATTAGATGCAATAGGAATGAGCTTTCCAAATTCACTTTTTCTGCGCCATTTGTCTATTTTGATTGCTACTTGCATTTACTTGACACTTTACTATCTAATGCTAAGAAATTCATACATTTTTAAATGTGGCTTAAGTGTCCCACTGTATAGGACAAGACAAAAACATCAAACATGGAAGTCCATGGAAAACATAAGTTAATCTCAATGAAAACCTTCCAACTTGCTTAAAAAACAGGAATAGTCCATAAAGCATTCATAAAAAGTTATAAAAAGGAAACTGCAGACCAGCTGAGGGGCGTTCAACTCATCACCGTCTACAGCGTAACGTTGCATAAAAACATCAACACCACGAAAACAATCAGGTATCATTCCATCTACCCATCTAAACATTGCTAAAGCCACCTAGTCCACTATTACATCCATTTCATGCACTTAAAAATCACTTAAAACAACTGGATCATACATATGAATTTGAGGCAGTTGGGTAAAATACTTAGCATCTGAATGATGATGTGTATTGTGTTATACACATTACAGAAGATTGTCATTCTTTCACAATTTAAAAAAAAAAAGGAAGAAAAACCAAATTGCTGTAAATGTGTATTTGAACCATGCTTCTCAATTCCATACATCAATACAGCATTGCATCTGAGCATGTAAACCATGCTTTTTCAAGCCTTTGTGCACAGAGACTGCACATACAATGTGTTTTAATACTCTGCAATGCTTCAAAATCTCGAGGTTGTCTCCAAAGCAGGTTTGAGAGCTGTTTTGATGTCTCTTCTGGTGTAATATTGATGATTTAGGTTCACATTCATCAAGCAGCACAGCAGGGACTCTCTCTCAGCAGCTGTGCTCTTGCATTTCTCTGATATTGATTAGTTTCAGAGAAAAGATTCGCTTCAACTCAAGATATCGGCACCTCCGAATGCCGTTTCATCTTCAATAAGCTTCTTTTCAATCCATATCTCCATGTATTGTTGAGGGAAACATACAAAGGCTTGGAAGAGCATCCTCTTACAAAAAAAGTACTGTGGCAGTACCATGGTATCATATGGTAATACTAAATTATATTTCAATGCTTTTGCATTCTCTTGTGTTCTCTCACAAATCTTCAGTGATGGAAATAATACAAGTTGGGAAGAAAAGCTGTATTTGAGTGCTTTTACGAGCAAACACAAAGTTTCTCAGGGGAATGCAGTAGTTTGGGAAAAAAAACGCAATTGTTTCGTGAATGAATGCAAACTTTCTCGGGAGAACACAATACTTTTACAGAAGAATACAAATGTTTCACAAGAGAACGCAAAGTTTCTCAGGGCAACGCAATAGTTTTGCGAGAAAAAGCAAATGTTTTGTGAATGAGAGCAAAATTTCTACTTTTGCAAGAAAAAGCTATGTTTTTTTTTCTCAGAGGAACGCAATACACTTACAAGAGAATGCAAAAGCATTGAAATATAATGTTTCCTCCCATCTCATCACCATATATATATATATATATATATAAATATAATATCACACCATACTCAAACACCATGATATTCCATCCTGGCAATGTCAAAAATTTCATCGCAATGTCGCAAATGATCTAAATTAGCCAAATATGGTACAAATAATTCCAGGGTATTATCATGGTACTTTCTGGTACTGTTTTTGTAAGCATTACAAAAAGGAGTGGGGAAAAACATTTCATCCTTTGACATTCTTTCTCTTTTGGACTCTCTCCAAAAGGAGTGATCCTGAGAAATGTGAGGGAGAGAGGGGGAGGGCGATCACCCTTCAGCGGAATGAAAGAAGCGGCAACTTGCGCGCACATACACACTCACGCACATTTAAGACTCGTTTAATCTATCATTTCTCTCATATGATAAAAAACAAAAACATCTCAGTCCAATGAACAAAATGACAAGAAAAACTGTCCCAAAATGAAACCTAAAAACAATTCAGTCTCAGTGAGAAGAGAGTCATTTGGATGCAAGGTTAAAATGGATGGTATGAGAACAGAGGTTCTCCAGTCCAACAGAGGAAACTGAGGGAGATGTGAGGGTCGTACGGCATTTTTAGACAGGCGGGTTTTTATAAAATAGCTCTGCTATTGCCATGCAGACCCCATTCTGAGGCAGGTCAGGCTTGTGTGTGTGTGTTACTTGTGTTTGTGCTGAATGAACTGCTCTGCTGTTTATGGCTATTCTTCTGTAAAGCGGCGATAATTGTGCCGAGTTGAAATTCAAGGTGTCAGTGACCATGGCGACCGGCAGAAGCAGCTTGAATTGTTGAGGTTCTTGAGTCCAACCAATGAGCCAGGGGCACCTGCCTGGCGTCACCAGATATATATGTCCTGCAGTTTTTGGCTCAGGGACAGATGCTATGTAAGCATGCAAATCAGCTTTACATGCAGCCCTCCACCAATGTTCACAGAGAGCGAGAGGTTTACTAATTTAAAGGGATAGTTTACCCAAAAAATTAACATTTACTCAACTTCACGTTGTTCCAAACCTATATGACTTGCCTTTTGCACAACAAATGAAAAGATATTTTGAAGAATGAAAGTCAAAGTGGTCCAATGTTGATTTGGACCCAATTGACTTTCATTGTATGGACAAAAACAGTCGAAAGATCCTCGAAACATTTATAAAACATCTTTAAAACATTTATGAAACATTTGTGTTCCACAGAAGAAAGTCAGTCATACAGGTTTGGAATGACATGAGGATGAGTAAATAAATACAGAAAGTTCATTTTGTTGGGTGAGGAAAGTGAGGAAAAGGTCTGGTAATTCAACTTAATTCATCCTTAGTTATTGATCCTTAAGAAGTAAGTGTATTGATGTATATGCCAAATGCCAATAAATTTAAAGCATGTGTCCATTTTTTGTTGTATTTGTCCGTTTATCTGTTTACATGAATCTAAAACTGGTAAATCATTTGCTTTCTTCTCTTTTTTTTAATGTATCACAGTTATCGATGTGTCTATGCATGTGTATTAGTGTTTGTGTGGTAGTGTATGTGTGTGTGTCAGTGTAAACTTGTAGGTGTGCTAAATCTTTCCAAAGGTTTTTAACTACACATTCCAAACCTCCAACCATCCAACCCAAACCAATGCCTCCACAACCACATCTACTGAATGTCAACATAACAACAAAACTAAGACACGAAATTAAAAGAAAATCTTGAAAGGATAAAAAACTGAGGAGTCCCTGCTTTTGTAATCCGACAGGGAGGCTGCAGTGACATGCTGGTGCCTTTGGGCGGGCTATCGAGCAGGCGAGAGAAGGGGTCGGACTGCCTTATAAGGGCGGGTTAAAGGTCGTGCCCTCATCACTGGGTGTGGCTGTATCGTCGCTAGGCTCTAGGCTGTCCTTGGGGCTCAGGGTGCTATCGGATGTGGGTGTGGCCTCATCCGAAGGGGGCGGGGTTTCGGGGGAGCCATCCTGCTGTCCATTAGGAGTAACTGTGTGCAGGGGTTCGGGGGGAGTGAGAGGGGGAGTGTTGGTGTTGGGTTGGCTGCTGATGGGTAGCGAGGCTGGCACCGGCATGGGCTCAGTAGGAGTGTGGGGAACGCTGGGTACCGATGCCAGGGTGCGAGGAGTGGAGTTGTGCAGCAGGGAATCGCCCAGGCCCAGGCTGGAGTCGCTGTGCACCAAGGATGAGGTCTTCTCCACCAGACGCCACTGCATGATGCTCATGTCCTTGCCGCCCGTTGAAATCAGGTTACTGTCGCTGTGCATGAAGCTCACGTTTGTCACGTGACTGCTGTGGGCACTGTACTTGTGGCTTGGGGCCTGCAATTAAATAATAAAACTAGTGAAATTTCAGTTAACGAGATGATATAATAGCCCCCAGGCTTCATGAATTTCACCCAATTTCACCCAATTACAGCTCATGTACAGCTCATGTTTATGTCCAGTCACATTTCATTAGTGCTGTCAAAAGAATTAATCGCAATTAATCGCATACAAAATAAAAGTTTTTGTTTGCATAATATATGGGTGTGTGTTGTGTATATTTATGATGTATATATAAATACACATACATACAGCATATATTTTGAAAATATTTACATGTATTTACACGTCATATAATTTATATTATAAATAAATATATTTAATATACAAACATAACATATTTTTCTGAAATATATACATGCATGTGTGTGTATTTATATATACATAATAAATATACACAGTACACACACATATATTATGCAAACAAAAACTTTTATTTTGGATGCGATTAATCGTTTGACAGCACTACATTTCATTACCCCCTCCTCAAATATTATCAACATTGCGCTAAAGTCTATATTGTGTTGTGATGTACAATGGATTACCCCCCCCCCCCCCCAAAAAAAAAGTAGGATAGTGACAATCCAATGGTTATTGATTGGATGGAGGCAGATCTGAATGTGATCTTGCAGTCAATTTTAAGAAAGGGGCAGAGTTTAAGTTGAATAAATGATTGGAGTAGTCTGCAGTTTCATTGGAAGAATGACTCAGAATTACGAGGTCAAAAAACAACTGTAAATTGTTCACAATAAAATCAATAACATTCATTTAGAAAACAGATAGGGTGAATTTTCGCTAAAGTTTTAAAGAAAATCAATCCTGTAACTTAAAGTAACTGAATCAAATTGCTGTTCAGTGTATTAAAACAAACTGAATCTTGAATCAAACTGATTTACTGTTTCAAACCCTTATGTCTGGCTTCAGACATTTAACCAACAACTAATACACATCATCTTCTAAAATGTAAAAGTAAAGATACTCTTTAAAATACGACAGTAAAGTGATGTGACAGACCTTCGGTCTTGAGCAGGGGTACTGGAAAAGGTGCACTTTACAGAAGTCATCAGCCAGAGCGATCACCTTCCTGTTGTGAGATCGCACAAGGGCATTGATATCTGTCCCATCTGAACCTTCCGGCCAAACACCTGTTACACAGCAAACACAGAGACACATAAGTGTACAACAATGGGGTGTAACTAGCTAGAAGCCACACTACAAACATAATTACGACATTCATCAGTAGCCTGTCAGTATCTCAGATTGTAGCTTTTCCAGGAACAAGTAATGTTTCCCAATCTGAAGTGTGGAGTCACAAAAAATGCATGTATATTTTGGTATCATTTAGGGAGTCAGTTCAGTAAATCAGAACATTATTTATCCTATGTATTTATTTATTTTTACACAATGAAGATGTTTCAAGTCATCGCCCTTCTGTCCCTATCGTTTTTCTGCAGTTAAACAATTATGTTTATCACTATGTCTTAACTTATAGTGTTTACTTAAGTGTATACATTTGAACTTACTTTAAATTTAAATTTTCAAATTTGATTTAATGTGTCCAAATTTGACGTTGAGATCCTAAATACATAAATATTTTTTTTGTGCTTGATAAATGCACTTATATGTTGGTGGTAATTTAATATTCTGTTAAAATCCATTTTAGCGAGAAGTAAGAAACTTAAAATCCTAACTAACTGTAACAAGGGAAGGTATTTTTGACCTCATCACTATAATATCCACAAGCACATACAGTGCACGGCATAAACGAGTACACCCCCTCTAAAAACCTAACAAATTCAGCAATTACTCTTTTCTTAGAAGACATGTTAGGGTTCTTTGGAATGTTCCAACAAGCCTGATTGATCAATTACCAAAGATGAATGCCAAAATTATTCAGCAAAATAACATTTTCTTATCAAAGTGATAACATTTTGTGTTGCAAAAATGAGTACACCCTCCTGAAATTACTAAATAAAACTAACAAAAAAAAAAAGTGTATAGGTTTAAGGCTATTTTTGATCAACAGGTAAATATGTTGAACCAAAACTTTTAAAGACAAGTAATTTCCTGACAATTAAAAGTGTTATATAGCCCACTGAATCATACTCAGACTTAATGCTGGCAGCAGTGGAACCACTTGGGAGAGAACTGCCAGGTGACTTATTTCTTAGCATAAAAGAGGACAATGGTACAAGAGGAATACCAAATAATTGTTTTAAGTGTGAAAATATAGGAGAAGTAGCACCAACTTTCAAAAACAATTGACTTGTGATAAGGCTCCTGAAATAATCAGGTCTTCACTTTAATTTTTCATTTAGTAATGAGTGAGTTTTTGCTAGAAAAAGAGCAGGAGAAATAACATGCAAGTGTCTCAGAGCCGGCCAAAGCTATGCAAAGAGTGACACTTTATCTCACAGAGTATGCCGCAGCATGCAGAAGTGACATGCATGGTTGTTGTCACCACTAGAATTACCTACTGTAGCCAAAGCAAAATAAACTCATTTAACCTCTTCCAGGGCCCATATTTACAAAATAGAGACTTCTGGGAATCCATACTCTGGTCTCAAGAGACCAAATAAATCATTTCGGATCCAAAAGCATCCAAAATGTTCTGGTGTTGCTAGAGGAGGAGTACAGAGAGAAGTGCTTGGCACCCACAGTGACGTTCAGTGGTAGTAAAGCTTTTATATAGGGATGAATGAGTGCTGAAGGTGTGAGGGAGTTGTGCTTTATCAACGCTGGCATGAATTCACACACCACTGTGTGATGTAATACAAAAACTTGAAACAGAAGATGCAACCCTCTTCTCATTCCCTGCATTACTGGGCATTTTTTCAGCATGACAATGAATGATTCTGTAGAGACGAGCTGAGCAACACTCCCCATTAAAGACCAGAGCATTTAAGGAGGTGGTCCTCCAGGAGTTAAACTGGACAGATGTGAAAATTTGTCATGAACTTGTACACTCAGTGCCAAGAAGGGTCAGAGCAGTGTACTTTAAGTTCTGGAGGACATACTAAGTTCTAGAATATTATACATTTTCTGAATTAAATCTAGGGTGTACTCATTTCTGCAATCCTTCATTTAAACAAAATTGGCTAATTTACTTATCTTACCGAAAATATTGGCATATATTTTGTTGTTTTTATTAAGTATATGTTTAATATGTTTCAATTTTGCCATCTTTCCATGAATTATATTAGTGCTCATTAAGAAAATACATCTTTTATATTTATTCAGAGGGGGTGTACTCATTTATGCTGTGCACTGTAGATACCTCACCACATTCAAACGCTATGATCATGAATGGATAAGGAGCCTTCAACAAGATTACCAGCAGGAGGCGGAAGAACACTAGGTACAGGAATCTCTCTCTCTCTCTCTCGCTCTCACACACACACACACACACACACACACACACACACACAGTTTTCTGTATCGCATTCACTGTACTGCTCTAATCTATTAGCTCAGTGCTAGAGAATTTGAACAGTTCTTTCTACCAAATATTTTTCCAGTCTAATAAAGTGCTAAAATATGTGGAGTTGTGGTCGGGACTGGGCTGGCTTTATTCAAAAGCACCGTGTGAATGTGCTGCCATCTCCAGCATTACAGACCTGCACACACTAGACGGCTCGCTATGCTGACAGATAAAGTGAGTCTGTGGGCTGAACTACTTTCGTAATTTTTTGTAATCACCCTGCTTAGACATGAAGTCATTCAGAATGTGAGCGAAATTATAAAGGGAGACTATAATTGTGTGTATAAAGACAGAGTTGCAAAGACTGAAAGTAAGTGAGATGAAAAATGCTGCAAAGGGAGAACAGCTGACTGACAATCAGACTATAAATAAAGGTGATGTGCAAAATTTGTCCCCAGAAATGAGCTAAATATGATAAAGCATTAATTTGCATATACCGGATTACTAAATACAGATTACTTTATCTTTTTGGGTTAAAGTTATAGCAGGAGTCTGGTATGTCCCCTCATTTAGACTGCCAAGCAAATGTGTGTTGGTGTGTGGGAGAAAGAGAATAAGACTAAGACCCCCTCAAAACTAAACCACTGACAGGGTTCAAATACCAGCCACACGTTTGGAAAAAAACAAACGAGGCACGCACACATACTTCTAGCCAATTTTCAGTCATAAGTTTGATTTACATACACAGTCATTCAGTGACAGACCCTTCAAAGGCGGCGAGATTTCAGCAGTGGGTACTGCATAGTAGGTATCAAACCCCTAACTAGCAATAATGCCCACAATGCATCACTCTTCAGATACTGACCAAAGACGTGGAATCCTAGCACGCAGGTATATGTGGCCCAGTCGATGTCCTTGCACTCAGAACGGTTACGAATCAACTTACAACCGTTTGGAATGTCCCCTGTGGAAGAGGGAAAACAATTTATCAGGAAAATCTGGAATATGGTGCAAAATTGAAGTTTCAACAGCTTTTGGTCCCAAAAAAAAATAAAAAAAGTGCAAACACAAACCACAAGCTGAATCACTAATGATGTATTCTACCAAACCAATGAGACAAAAATGAAATATGGTTGGAGATGAATGTTTTTCAGTGAGAGCTTGTTGCGGTCATCCACTCACAGTAAAGGATTTCATAGTCTCCTGAGTTGGACATGATGAACTTGTTGTCGGGGGACCAGTCAAGATGTGTAATGTAGCTGGAATGTCCCTGAAGACGGAGATTAAAAGATTTGACAATGAAAAAGGAGAAAGAAAACATTCTCAATGATCAGAATGGAACTGTAATGGATCACAGAGCTGCTCGGATCTTCAATGGAACACAAATGTAGAAATTCACACAATATCTTTGTTCAAAGAAAAGATCAACATTTAAGATGTTATTCATTCAACATTTAAGCAAACATTTCAATGGCTGCAACCCTTGTGAAAAAGAAATGCGTTTATTTGTATTAAAAGTATATAAAAACGCTACTTTGCAAATAATATAATATTAACGAAATAAAAAGCTATTTAAGTGTACTTCTTAAACTTAAGCACACTTTGTAATGTCAAATGAACAGTTTTACTTTAAAGTTTAAATCATTGCATTTGAATAAAAGCACATTTTGTCGTGCTTTAAAGAAGTACACTTATTTTGATGTGTTGATTAACATAAAGCACATGTAAAGTATTTGATTCTAATTATCTGATGTGTGTTATTTGATATTGTATTTCAAGCTACTACATTTGAATTGTAATAAACTGTAATTTCATCATTACAAATGTGAAATTGCGAATATATTCAAATACATAAAAATGACAACAAAAATCACATTCAAGTATATGTTAGGTTACCATACATGCATTTGGCAGTACACTTTAACCCTATTTCAATGACAATAAAAGTAAAAATGAAATTTCATATAATAATGCACTTAAACGCTAAAGTCCTGCTAACTGCATTCAACATAAATTTAAGAAGAATACTTAAGATGCATTTAATTGTCTGAAAACATTACATTCACTTTGCACTTGATTATACTCTTTTAAAGTAACAAGTACTCTTTTTAAAAGTATACTAAGGTGCATTTCGTCATCTTTTTTTTCATGTTTGAATGGAAGCCATGGTAATTCAATTTGAGAGCCGTTTCACACCCAAACCAATTAAATAATTGTCTAATACTTGAAATGACGTGTGTGAGTCATTTGGACTGTTTATATGATACTTTTAGGGTGCTCTGTTGTGATGCATTTAATTGTCTGAAAACATTACATTCACTTTGCACTTGATTATACTCTTTTAAAGTAACAAGTACTCTTTTTAAAAGTATACTAAGGTGCATTTCGTCATCTTTTTTTTCATGTTTGAATGGAAGCCATGGCAATTCAATTTGAGAGCCGTTTCACACCCAAACCAATTAAATAATTGTCTAATACTTGACGTGTGTGAGTCATTTGGACTGTGTTTATGATACTTTTAGGGTGCTCTGTTGTCCTTTTTGGAACTTGGCAGAGTGAATGAACATCCATGTTCATTGTATGGAAAACAGCTGATTGGACTAATATCTAATTTTGTTCTTCATGAAAGTAAATCGTACAGGTTTAAAACAACATATAAGTGAGGAAATAATGACAATTTCATTTCTAAGGTACTCTTAGCTCTTTAACCAAGATACATGAAAGCAACAGAGTTCAAAATTTCAGTCGAAAATCAATCTCATCTCACAAACACTGACAACTAATCGAAGGGATGGAAAAGCAGAAAGGTTTTTTCAAAGACTGAATTCAGTGGTCTCAATAAATAATGCTGGAGGGTCTCCACCCAGTGCAAAGAGAGACACAAAGCTAATACCATCTGCCTTATAGCTCAGGGAGGGAATCTCTGTTTGTCTGACTTGAGTCGACAGGCTTCCCTCCCACATGTGTGCTGACATTTACATGCGAGTGTGTGTACGTGTTTTAAAGAGTCTTGAGTTTGTGAAAGCTTGCTATCTGCACACAGAGTCCCCTGTAGATTATAATTATCACCTGTCTCTCCATGTCCCGCTTTTCATACACATATTGACATGTGCTATATGTATTTCCACTATCTTAGATCCTGAACATCCTTTCTATGGCTGTCGAACGAGGTCAGTAGAAGCCGAACTTTCCCACGCTGCACTGTAATGCAAATGGTTTATAGCTCAATGGTGCATTGCTTGGGATTTTTGACCTTAACAGTATTTGGACGCTTTTGCACATTTAAGTCACATTTAAAAATGCACGAATCTCTTATGAATTGCTTAGATAAACTATTAAACCATGTCATCTGCACTCAAACGCTGTTGGAGCTTTTCTCAGAACTAACCGTTTTCAAATACTTTTAAAAAAGCTGATGTTTTGGTGATGATTTGGTGATATTTTCTTTTTTCTTTGCAATGAATCACTCGGTGATATTTGTAACTTTTGCTTACGTGTCCAAATACGTTTTGAGGCCACTGTATTATGATACTTTTAGGGTGCTCTGTTGTCCTTTTTGGAACTTGGCAGAGTGAATGAACATCCATGTTCATTGTATGGAAAACAGCTGATTGGACTAATATCTAATTTTGTTCTTCATGAAAGTAAATCGTACAGGTTTAAAACAACATATAAGTGAGGAAATAATGACAATTTCATTTCTAAGGTACTCTTAGCTCTTTAACCAAGATACATGAAAGCAACAGAGTTCAAAATTTCAGTCGAAAATCAATCTCATCTCACAAACACTGACAACTAATCGAAGGGATGGAAAAGCAGAAAGGTTTTTTCAAAGACTGAATTCAGTGGTCTCAATAAATAATGCTGGAGGGTCTCCACCCAGTGCAAAGAGAGACACAAAGCTAATACCATCTGCCTTATAGCTCAGGGAGGGAATCTCTGTTTGTCTGACTTGAGTCGACAGGCTTCCCTCCCACATGTGTGCTGACATTTACATGCGAGTGTGTGTACGTGTTTTAAAGAGTCTTGAGTTTGTGAAAGCTTGCTATCTGCACACAGAGTCCCCTGTAGATTATAATTATCACCTGTCTCTCCATGTCCCGCTTTTCATACACATATTGACATGTGCTATATGTATTTCCACTATCTTAGATCCTGAACATCCTTTCTATGGCTGTCGAACGAGGTCAGTAGAAGCCGAACTTTCCCACGCTGCACTGTAATGCAAATGGTTTATAGCTCAATGGTGCATTGCTTGGAATTTTTGACCTCAACAGTATTTGGACGCTTTTGCACATTTAAGTCACATTTAAAAATGTATGAATCTCTTATGAATTGCTTAGATAAACTATTAAACCATGTCACATCTGCACTCAAACGCTGTTGGAGCTTTTCTCAGAACTAACCGTTTTCAAATACTTTTAAAAAAAGCTGATGTTTTGGTGATTTGCAGTTTTTGTGAGATTTTCTTTTTTCTTTGCAACGAATCACTCGGTGATATTTGTAACTTTTGCTTACGTGTCCAAATATCACCATCAATACTGTCACGCTCAAAGAGTACGAGACTCTATTAAAAAACTGAGAGTTCTGGTTCTAAAGCAGATGTTCTAATATATTTCTAATTTCAAACATATTTCTGCTCAATCAACGTAAACTCAGCACACCTGAAACGAGGATAGGTGCATGGGAACAAAAACGAACAAAAAGTTGAATCAGAAATAAGTAACGAACCCGCACACTATCAATACTTGCTAATTCTTAAACTTTATTAAACGCAACGTTTCGGTCCACTGACCTTCATCAGGCAAACATATTTCTGCTGAAATGAAAGGTGCTTTTAAACTTTTACAGCCACTAAAAGTGACAATGCATTAAAATAATTCTAATTATATATAATTAGAATGAATAATTATTAAAATATTTCAGAATTTGAAGTGTTTTAAGAACTGAATGCATTTCAAATTTACACTTTTTATGACCGATGCATCTGCATGATGTTTCCAGTTTTTCGTGAAGAGATTTTACTTTTTTTTTCTTTCAAATTTTTAAGTTGAACTTGAACTACAAAAAAAACAAACATATTTCCAGATTTCCATGATGTACACATTTCCATGTCTTTTCCAGGTTAAAAAAAATGTAATCATCACACTTCCCTCACATACAGGTTTTCCAAGACTGTGGGAACCTTGATACTTAAATTCAGTTGTTCATAAGAAGAAAAAAAAAAAAAAGCAAGCAAGAAAGAAAATAGTGGGTCCCAGCCACCTGGTTGAGAACCACTGCTCTAAATGCGTGGATGAGGTGACAAAAATTGAAAACATAACCTGATATACATACTTCAACTAAATACTGTATTACTGCATACAAATGTAAACAGCCTACAGTTAAGATGACAAGGGGTATTTATTGGTTATTCGGGGTATCTTTCAATCTTTCGAACCATAGTCTTAGCTCAGAGACACACTATAAGAAAACAGTAACCGCTCTTACATCAAGTCAGTATTTGCCAAACTGCACAAGCTGACTTTTTACTAATGTCTTAATAAAAGGGTTTTTTTCAGGAACCACTAAATGTCATGGCATGTGTCAAAGTTTATTATTGTTTATTCCGCTTTTTTTTCTGAGATGCCTCTGAAATTTTCAGTACGCATCACATCTTTATAAAGATAATGTTTCCACAAACAAGTTTAATTTCTTTGGTATTTTCAGAAGAACAAAACACTGGGCCATAATTTAACCAGCCTAAACTTTGTTTGCAGAATACGATAGAAAATGCTGATATTGCATCATTTATGCTAGTAACCAGTGAAATTAAGTCTAAAGTATAGAACATAACTGCAGCACTGGATGGATTTAACTGTTACAAAAATTAACCCCCAAAAGGTTATGCCTTTTAAGGCCATCTCTAACATAACCCTTGAGGCTGATTACCTGGAGAAAAGGCAGCATATCGTGTCTATGATTATTATTAGAGCCCGACCGATATGTTTTTTTTTGGGTGGCCGATGCCGATACCGATATAAGGGAGTAAAAAAAGGCCGATATTCTTTGTGTATAATATAGTACAGTACCAGTCAAAAGTTTGGACACTTTCCCATTCGTGTGTCCAAACTTTTGACTGGTACTATATAAAGAATACAGTATATACATAAACATAATATATATACATAAACACATTTTTTGCAATGATCACTCAAATGTGGTGATCAAACACTTATAATGACGTGACAAAGATATGTAATGGAGGCAGGGCATTTAACAATTTAACAATAAACTTTATTTTCCAAAATGGGTCTGACATCAGTGCACTGAACAGTAAAGTTGAAGTTTATTCAACTTTATTTCAATTCAATTCCATTTCAAGTTTATTTCACTTCGGAACATTCATTCACAGATTTGCGCTACGGTCTTCACACACAGACGAAACTTACTAGAGAAGTGTGAAATGTGACATAATATACCTCTGTAAATAAATACAATATAAATTCATGTCTCACGCACTTTAATGCCCTTTGAATGTAACATGTACGTTTCCCTTGGAACTGGAATCATGGCGGAATATCATGTGAAGTCCACTTCGCAGGGCACTTACAGTCGAATAAGACAACGCTTGAATGCTGTTGCCTGAAGAAGAGACCTCCTTACTGAAGTGAAAGTGTTGGCCGTGAATGCGGCGGCGGATCTCCACCAAATTCGGGGGATCCCTTCAGCTCGAGGAGCCCTCTGGAACGCCACTCTCCACGCGTCGGTAGCCCCACGGGATCGCCAGATCGGTTGGCGAATTTAACAGCCCATAACTCCCGGTCTACCAAAAGGCGGTGGTTTCATTCGAAAGGGGGCCTTGAGACGTACACTCGAGTCGGCGTTCGAGAGGGTTCCTCGAGCTGAAGCTGATCCCCCAAATTTGGTGCGGATCCGCCGCGCCATTACGGATATATGGTCGTTCAAAGTTTCAATGGTATTACATACACTTAAAGGGACAGTTCACCCAAAAATTAAAATGTGATGTTTATCTGCTTACCCCTTATGAACTGTCCTAAGCGCGTTCTCAACAGCAGGTGCGTGACGCGTGTTTTTCTTGCTTTACGGCGGATCGCAGACTTATAAGTGCATTACCGTCACCAAATGGAATAAGAAGACGCGTCACGCACCTGCTGTTGAGAACGCGCTCAGGAAGCGCTTCAAGACAGTCCGAACAGTTCGAACATTGCGTGAATCAGAGGTAAAAAACGATATAAATACTGTTCAGTTTCTTGCACAGACCGATCGTTTTGTGTCTTTACACATCAATGTATCGTCACGAGCCGCAGGGTTTAATTTGGTTTAGTTTGTGTATGTTTTTTTGACTCTCAAAGCCGTGATTTCCATCCACTTTCATTATATGACTGAAAGACTGCAACAGTTTGTGTTAAAAATCTTTGTTTGTGTTCTACTGAAGAAACAAAGTCACCTACACCTTGGATGCCCTGGGGGTAAGCAGATAAACATCAAATTTTCATTTTTGGGTGAACTATCCCTTTAAGCTTTAAAGCGTTTCATCCAGGTCACCAGTAGCAAACAATGGAGCATGCTCTGCTGGACAAAATACGTAATTACACCATTAACAAGCTTTTTTTATCTGTGTTTTATGCTCTGCAGTAATGGAGGCAGGGCATTTAACAATTTAACAATAAACTTTATTTTCCAAAATGGGTCTGACATCAGTGCACTGAACAGTAAAGTTGAAGTTTATTCAACTTTATTTCAATTCAATTCCATTCCAAGTTTATTTCACTTCGGAACATTCATTCACAGATTTGCGCTACGGTCTTCACACACAGACGAAACTTACTAGAGAAGTGTGAAATGTGACATAATATACCTCTGTAAATAAATACAATATAAATTCATGTCTCACGCACTTTAATGCCCTTTGAATGTAACATGTACGTTTCCCTTGGAACTGGAATCATGGCGGAATATCATGTGAAGTCCACTTCGCAGGGCACTTACAGTCGAATAAGACAACGCTTGAATGCTGTTGCCTGAAGAAGAGACCTCCTTACTGAAGTGAAAGTGTTGGCCGTGAATGCGGCGGCGGATCTCCACCAAATTCGGGGGATCCCTTCAGCTCGAGGAGCCCTCTGGAACGCCACTCTCCACGCGTCGGTAGCCCCACGGGATCGCCAGATCGGTTGGCGAATTTAACAGCCCATAACTCCCGGTCTACCAAAAGGCGGTGGTTTCATTCGAAAGGGGGCCTTGAGACGTACACTCGAGTCGGCGTTCGAGAGGGTTCCTCGAGCTGAAGCTGATCCCCCAAATTTGGTGCGGATCCGCCGCGCCATTACGGATATATGGTCGTTCAAAGTTTCAATGGTATTACATACACTTAAAGGGACAGTTCACCCAAAAATTAAAATGTGATGTTTATCTGCTTACCCCTTATGAACTGTCCTAAGCGCGTTCTCAACAGCAGGTGCGTGACGCGTGTTTTTCTTGCTTTACGGCGGATCGCAGACTTATAAGTGCATTACCGTCACCAAATGGAATAAGAAGACGCGTCACGCACCTGCTGTTGAGAACGCGCTCAGGAAGCGCTTCAAGACAGTCCGAACAGTTCGAACATTGCGTGAATCAGAGGTAAAAAACGATATAAATACTGTTCAGTTTCTTGCACAGACCGATCGTTTTGTGTCTTTACACATCAATGTATCGTCACGAGCCGCAGGGTTTAATTTGGTTTAGTTTGTGTATGTTTTTTTGACTCTCAAAGCCGTGATTTCCATCCACTTTCATTATATGACTGAAAGACTGCAACAGTTTGTGTTAAAAATCTTTGTTTGTGTTCTACTGAAGAAACAAAGTCACCTACACCTTGGATGCCCTGGGGGTAAGCAGATAAACATCAAATTTTCATTTTTGGGTGAACTATCCCTTTAAGCTTTAAAGCGTTTCATCCAGGTCACCAGTAGCAAACAATGGAGCATGCTCTGCTGGACAAAATACGTAATTACACCATTAACAAGCTTTTTTTATCTGTGTTTTATGCTCTGCAACAAAATGTTCATATCTGTGGCATATTAGCCGATACCGATATATCTGCGACAGGCTCATATCGGCCGATAAAATCGGCAAAACGATATATCGGTCGGGCTCTAATTATTATTATTATTAACATGTGTAATATTTAACAGGCCACTGACCGTCAGAGCATGTGTATGCAAATGTGTGTTTGTAGGAGTCTTACGTCCAGCAGTCTGGTCCATTCCAGTGTGTGGTACACTGAGTTCCACAGACACACCTGTCTGTCCTGAGCACAGGTGAGAAACAGGTCCTTGAACGGGTGGGCGGCCAGACCCCACAGCTCATCCGTGTGTCCCTAAAAATAGCAACTCCCATGAAACTAACTCCACAACTACGACTGCAGGTACAAGCACATGTTTGATATCCACTGGCTCTTTGTATGTATTTGAGATATTAAGATTATTGGCTTTGGTTTTGTAAGCATGTGTACAGTGAGTGTGGAACTGCTTATTGATCATCACTATACTCTTAAAAATAAAGGTTCTTTATTGGCATTGGTGGTTGCATGAAGAACCTTTAACACCCATGGAATCTTTCCATACCACAGAAGATTTTGTATAATGGAGAAAAAGGGTTCTTCAGATCATTAAAATAACTTTCACACTAAGAAAAAAAGGGTTATTTTAGGAACTGTTCACTGAAAGGTTCTTTGGGGAACCAGAAATGGTTCTTCCATGGCATCACTGCAAAAATCCCCTTTTGAAACCTTTATTTGTAAGAGTATAAGGCTGCACATGAAATACATACAGTGTGACTTAAAGTTCTGGTTTACCTGCACTTCCACCTGGAATCCATCGTTGAAAGTGCCTCTCAGAATGAAGTTGCGTGATGTGCCCACCAAAAACTGCTCCCCCTTGCCCTCGGCTACTGCACGAATAGTGCCATACTGATCTGGGACCTGAAGAAAAGCAAACAGACATTATAGATATGTTAATTTCTTATGTTGTTATAGGAGCTTGTTATATTTCTCATATTATATCCTATGATTTACTGGTAACACTGTATTTTAAGGTGATATAGTTACACGTTACATTTACTAGTGCAACAGGAAATTATGCATAATTACAAGTAACTGACCCTAAACCAAACCCTAAAGTAAGTATATGCAGTTATTTAATATTATACTCTTATTTGTGTAATTGGCTAAAAGATGAGATGTCTCATTTTGGTGTCCGCATCAAATTAAATTTATAATAGCGATTTTATACACACAGAAAGCATATTAAATGCAAATAAAGTAACTACTTTAATGTTTCAAATAACTTGTGAAAATAATATGGGTGAAATAATGTTCCATCGTCATTCAGTGGAGTAGCTATTTTAATGCAAAATTGAAACATACTTATTCTGACCTGTACTTCTAAATATACATAAAAGAAAAAGTCATCATACTAAATTTTATTATATTTTAAATGATTAAAAACTTGCTGACAAATGGGTAAACCCTAGAGGTTTAAAGGATAGTGGCAAATATTGGTAAAGATTTCAAATTAAATTGAGTAAGTTTTTGTGAGGCTGCACTTTGATAGTTAAAAGAGTATTTTAATGCCATCTAATGATTCTTGTTCTATATATGACTGACAAGGTTTTTTGGTAAATTAACTACTGTTACACTGAATTACATTTTAGTGGGTGTCTGGTAAAAATCATGTTTGATAGTCAATAATTTTTATTCAGAAAAAAATTAAATAAACAGCACACATTCTAATTTATGTAAAAGAAAAATAAAGTTAAGCTGCATTAAACTTTTATTGTTTGACCCAATTACACTGTAACACTGTCTCCAAAGTGTAACTTCTATATATTTATCAGTATCATCTATACTACTGCTCAAAATGTTGGGGTCACTAAGAATATTTATTTATTTGTTTATTTCGTGTGTTTTTTTCACAAAAAATACACAACATTTCTGTTTTTACTGTATTTTTGATCAGTCTGCATAAGACTTCTTTCAAAAACATTAAAAAAGAAGGTGTAATTATTCCAAACCTTTGACTGGTACGGTATTTCAGATATGTATCTCTTTAAAAACATGCATGTGTGAGTGTGAGCTTTAGCACAGCTTGGCCTCTAACCTCGATGTCTCTCTCTGGATTCAGGTCGTGGTCCCACAGAATGATCTTGTGGTCTTTGCCGCCCCCTGTGAGCAGAGTGCCATTCCTCATCTGACACAGTGTGAAGACGCTGCCATCGTGAGCCTTGATCTGACGCGTGATCTGAAATGCTCCTGTGGGGATGGGGTGGGTTAGTAAGACAGATGGAGACCCACTCGCACACAATTTCTGGGAATAGAACCCCACAAATATCTCTCCTGGCTAATGTGGTTTAAGTGCCAGACTGTTTTGCTATTGGGGATGTGATAGGGCTTTTAGAAAGAGAAGCTCGTAGATATGCTTGCCAGTGAGGCCAGGGGTGCATGTGTGTGTGATGATGTTGCATTCTGGGAATTCCAGTAGATTATCACTTCTCCCTGTAATAATACTGATGGCTCGGCTGTCTGCACAAAGAGCCAAGCCAAGGGAAATATAGACCCCTGGAGTGCTAAACCGGCCCCGTCAATACACACATAACTCTACACACACGCTCACTTATCTGAAACGGAGTGTGATTCTGAACAGTCTGACATTACACACTGCATCACACCAGCACTACCACACTTCTACAGTTACATGGTATCTGCAAGCATACAGACGCAGAGACAGGAAATCAGCTAGACGAGGCCAGTTCAGGACATGACATATGCCAAATGACTTAAGAGGAAAAGAAGAAATTAATTTCAATGGCCGGTGCAACACATGTAAGGCTTCATAACAGGAGGATGTTACGAAACTCATTTTCATAAAGTGTGTGCTTGTCTATTTGTTGGTTTTGCACAGTCACTCCATTTTTCAACTCATTTAGCATAATACTAATCCACAAAACATACAAGAACAGATGCTTCTGTCTATGCAAGTTGCATTTTAAATGCCATTGCTTTGAACAAGTCAAAATGTGATTTATAACACAATACGTTTTCTCTTGTATACTGTGGTGGAGCAACAGTTGGAGGAGAATTAGGTAAAGTAAGTTGACAGCAACTGGGATCGGGATTATTTTTTTTATGTTTTTGCAAGAAACCTCTTATGCTCATCGAATTTATTTAATCAGAAATACAGTAAAAACAGTGCTATTGTGAAATATCATTACGATTAAAAATAACTGCATTCTATTTAAATATATTTTAAAATGTAATTTATTTCTGTGATGCAAAGCTGAATTACTCCTGTCTTCAGTGTCACATGAACTGAAGAAATCATTCTCATATGCTGATTTGCTGCTCAAGAAACATGTCTGATTATTATCAAGGTGCAAAAAAGATTTTGGTGGAAACTGTGATACTTTCTTTCAGGATTCTTTGATGAATAAGAAGTTTATTTGAAATAGAAATCTTTTGTAACATTATAAATGTCTTTACTTACTGTCACTTTTGATTGATTTGATGTATACTATTTATTAATATAAATATTCATTTCATTGAATATAAAAAAAATCTTAATGACCCCAAACTTTTGAACGGTAGTGTAATAACACTGAAGACTGTGGCTGTGTGTGGGCCAAGCTTCTGATCAGGTGTCATTGATATGTAAATATAGGCGGTCATGTGCTCATGTATTCAGTTGTTTATGTAGAAGTTTGAGATGAGCTACAGGCAGCTGAATTTCCATAAGTGCACTTCTTTGGACTCAGGAAGACTCAGTTTGAGTTTTGAAAATTGCAGAATGTTTTAAAAGGTTAATGGCATATTTTATTTCAAAATACCAAGTAAAACTATTTAAAGTGCTCAACTGGGTGCTATGACTAGTAGCAGTAGTAGTAGTTTCTGTCCTTTAGGGGGCGCTATGTCACTGGACTGTAATGTGAAGTGACATGTGGCCAAGTATGGTGACCCATACTCGGAATTAGTGCTCTGCATTTACCCATCCAAAGTGCACACACACAGCAGTGAACACACACAAACTGTGAACACACACCCGGAGCAGTGGGCAGCCATTTATGCTGCGGCGCCCAGGGAGCAGTTGGGGGTTCGGTGCCTTGCTCAAGTCGGTGCCCACCTCAGTCGTGGTATTGAAGGTGGGAGAGAGCGCTGTACATTCACTCCCCCCACCTACAATCCCTGCCGGTACGAGACTCGAACCCACAAGCTTTGGATTATGAGTCCTCTAACCATTAGGCCACGACTTCCCCAGATGTACAGATTGAGGGGGTAAATAAAGGAGAGATAAATGAGCAGGAGCTGGCAGCATTTCAGCCAGTGGTGCAGCCATTCCAGTTCCACAGCATGCCAGTGAAAACCATTACAACTCCAGGATCAGCACAGAGAAAACAATCTGTCAACCTGTGCACACAGACACTAGCATATGCGTGCATGCAAACACAGTTTCAGTCACATATCACGAGCTGTTGACTTCCAATGAAAGTCTTCTTAAAAGGTACTCTCTGCCACAGGTTTCTAGAAGTTTCTCTTTCAGTCACTGTTTTCCTGAAATGATTGTTGGCCTCATTAACATAATTCTCAACTGACGGACATTACAGAATTGAAGAAACAAAATATAACATTAAGGTACCTTAATGTGCCAGGGTACTAACATTTTTTGTTTTCAACACTGATAATAATAAGAAATGTTTCTTGAGCAGCTAGAATGTTTCGTAGCATATTAAAATGATCCTGTTTGGACTCTCATTCTGACGGCACCCATTCACTGCAGAGGATCCACTGGTGAGCAAGTGATGGAATGCTGCATTTCTTCAACATTTTGGGTGAACTACTCCTTTAAATTCCCCATGAGAAATATAAGTGTGTGTGTCCTTACGCCAAAGATGCCTTGTTTGCGGGCGAGTGAGGAACCGCTCCAGGTCCAGAAGAAGATATGGGATTTCCCACAAGTAACAATGGTGTTGGCGTCAGTCGGGTGAAACTCCACTGCTAAGACCACTTCATTGGTTGTCTAATAAAACAGCACATTGGCAAAATCATTACATGAAGAACAAAGAGATGAGAGGAGGCAAAAGAGGAATGTGCAGGGAAACAGGCCAAAAAGGTACAAATGGAACAGACGTGGCAAAACATAAAAAGACGAGAAGGAAGACAACAATCTGAAACAAGATGAAAAGGACTGAGAAGAATGGAGGAGGAGGAAATAAGATAAGGGCTAAGAAATCTAAAAGAAAGGAACAAAGGAAGGGAGTGGTGATATGTGAGACAAGAGAACGAAATGAATAAAAGAAGTGTGACCCTAACCTTAATCTCAGCGATTTTTGATTTCTTCTGCCAGTCCCACACAGTGAGCATGTGCTCATTAGAGTCATCAATCACACTGAGATGAATGCCTGAGTCCTACACACACACACACACACACACACACACACAGATTGAGCATTACAATGCCATACTGTAACATTTTACATTAAATTACTGTTTACAAACAAACACTCAATCACAAAGTTTCCGGTTTCTTCAGTCACCTCAGAAAAGAGCTGTTTACATTAGGACTTTATTCAAACGTAGTCATTGAGAATGACCAACAAGTGCAGTGTTTGATGTTGAAACAACCAGGTTCATAAAAACTTGGTTTTCCACCATTCCTAAGGTGAAGAACTCTTGTATTATCCATTGATCACCAGAAAAACTGTCACAAAGGTGAAAAAAATCCTTCCTCTGAGCCAAGTTACGATATTATAACATATTATCAAGAGCCAATTATTAATAAATATTACAAATATTACAAACATGATCAATTCTCAGTTGTTTTTCACATATATGATATTATTTGTGACCCTGGACCACAAAACCTTAGTCTTAACCTAAAGTCTTAAGTCGCTGGGGTATATTTGTAGCAATAGCCAAAAATAGATTGTATGGGTCAAAATTATAGATTTTTCTTTAATGCCAAAAATCATTAGAACATTAAGTAAAGATCATGTTCCATGAAGATATTTTGTACATTTCCTGCTGTAAATATATCAAAACTTAATTTTTGATTAGTAATATGCATTGCTAAGGACTTCATTAGGACAACTTTAAAGGTGATTTTCTCAATATTTAGATTTTCTTGCACCCTCAGATTCCAGATTTTCAAATATTTTTCAAGTTGTATCTCGGCCAAATATTGTCCTATCATAACAAACCATACATCAATGGAAAGCTTATTTATTCAGCGTTCAGATGATGTATAAATCTCAATTTCGAAAAATTGACCCTCATGACTGGTTTTGTGATCAAGGGTCACAATTTATGGCAAATTCTGATTTCAAGATTACAATTATTGACAAAAGAAAATGCAAACATGACCCAGATCCAGGAAGAGCACAGTGCAAGACTGTGAAAAATATTAGAATAATTGAAAACAACAACAAAAAAATAACAGGTTTATCAATGATCAAAACAGTTGTTAGGCAATGCTAATTAAACACGTAATGAAATGAAATCAGATTAGATGGCTGACGTTAGACTCACGGCTTTAGAGAACGCGAGGGATCCAACTCCTCTCTCAAAGGTGCCGAGGCCGATGATCTGCAGCGTGGACAGACTGACGGAGTCCCAAACTCTCACGTGAGGCTGAAGCGGCTGCAGGATCAAACACAGATCAGAATACAGAGACGTCAAATATCACAGCAGGGAATCATGAGTCAAACATCCAAAAGAGCTTATTCTGATAACCTGGAAAACAACAACTTAGTAACACAGAAAAATAAAACTTCTGTAAAGTGTTTTTACAGTGTTTAAAGGTTTATGTTCTTTAGGGATCCTCTGAATACGTTCCAGCTAAATGTGTTTGTTTTTGCACGTTTAAGACATACTGTTTGTCTTGAATGTGTGTTGGCTAAAGCCAGTTATTCTAAACCTGTTCTCCTGTTTTGCATAACTAAAGCCAAATATGTTATTTATTTATTTTTTGAAAATGAAGAGCAGTAGTTGAACAGGGCCATGGAAAGAAAAAAATGTGCAATGAGTAAATGTTATGAAAAAAAAAATTATACTGACAGGACAAAATAAAGTAAGAGAAATACTACACAATACAACTACAATTGTATTACTACAACTACACAATTTTTTAAAGAAATTGAGATTGGTATGGTTTTTTTATGTTTTTGAAAGAACTCTCATGCTCATCAAGGCTGCGTTTATTTGATCAAATATACAGTAAAACAGTATATACAGTATCATTGTGAAATATTATATATCTCATATATTTTTATGTATTTTTTATGAAAACCATGATGCAGTTTTTTTTCAGGATACTTCGATAACTAGAAGGTTCAGAAGAACAGCATTTATTTGAAATACATATATATAGTAACAATATAAAAGCCTTTCCTATCACCTTTGCTCAATTTAATGCATCCTTGCTAAATAAAAGTATTCATTTGTTTAAAAAAAATCTATCCCAAACTTTTACACGGTAGTGTACATTAAGGCAAACATAGGTTTGTGCTTTATCATAGTAGTTGCAGTGATAAAACTCACCCTGCCATCCTTATCCACGCCTGCTATCTGTCCTGTGGCGATACGGATCTTATCTGGATGAACAGCAAGACTACAAGAGAAACAGACAGAGAAAGCTGAATATTCCCTGATCAACACTGCTGAAGTCCTCCTGAGGTGAATATGGCTTTCGTTTGTGATCACTAATATGTCATCCAGTAAATATACATGCTCTGCCTACCAAATTGTTATAATAGAGATCAACCAATAAGGATTTTCACTGGCTTGTCTGTCCATATACTGATATCTAGAGACCAGTATGAATTCCATTATATAAATATTTTACACAGTATTTAAAAGTCTACAGGAACAGGTATGTCCAGCATCATCACTGCTAACAATGCTAGCAATTACAAAGCCTCAGGAAAACAAAACTAAACGTGAATTCACAATGACAGCCGTTCACAAAGGAAAAACGGCAACATCTTTCAATGCAATGTTCAGTGAGTTGGTTATTTAATCACTGTCAGTGTCAATGTCCCATATGACGAATGATAAGACCAATAAATAACTGCATGCCCCCAACAACACGATATGTGTTTTCATCAATCTCACCATTTGACACAGTCAGTGTGTCCTAAATAGTGCCGCTGTGTCCTCTCCTCATAGTTGAAGAGCACAACCACCGAGGCGATGAAATACACAATCTCCCCGGTAGGTAGCAAGTACACATTTGCACGGCAGTCACGTCCCCTGTAGCCATATCTATCAAGGAGTCAAGGGAAAACAACAGTATACCAAAAACAAAAAAATATATGTAATATATAGTCAATGCTTTACATAAACCATCATAATGTTGTAATCCTTAATTCACAGAATCTCAGCAAGTAAATTAAATTGGCCATTAATTAAATTTGACAACCTTAGTTAATATTTTATAATTTTTTTGCCATAAAAGTTTTAATCCATTTTAAAACCACCATTGTCAAATACAATACATGCAAAGCATGCTAGAAAGGATACACCCACTCCAGTTTGAGTCTCTCTGGGGGAAGTTCGGTGCGTACATCGTCGTAATTCTCCACGTCCGATGGGATAAACATTGTGATGGGTCGTCCTCGCATGAACATTTTTATATATTCTCCCTCTGTGGAGAGATTTGATGAAGGAAATATATTCTAAGAAAATACTAGAAAAAAAATAAATAACTAATGCCAATGAAACGTATATATCTCAAACAAAACCCATGTTTGTTTGTGTGAAATATATCATGAAGTTATCTGAAATTTGGTAGTGAACATGGTCTTTCACAACAGAGTTTGATCATTTTAGCAACATTTAACAAACACATAGCATATATTTTAGCTTCTAGCATTGCTCCTTCTTACTTAAAAGTTAGTTTTTAAATACTATACATTTCTAAAACGTTTCTAAATGAAGCTCTTTAAAGGATTTACTAAAGCTCATGCTTTGAACCCGTTCATAAACCCAAGCAAATCAAAAGTGAAGCTCTAAGCGGCGTGCAGAAGGGCCAGAGCAATGACAATGCCCAAATCTAACTGTGATTCAACAAAGAAATGAAAAGTGTAAAGAAGAAACCTAAAGGTGGTGAAAACAAAAATGGGCAGAGACAGAGTGAGGCAGAAAAAAAATGAAGTATTTTCTCTGATCTCCAGAATCATTTTGTGCAGTAGCACATTTTATAATAGCATCGTATAATTCTATAAAGTATTTAACACTGACCGCAGGTAACCTTTAAAAACAATTTTGCTGGTCGAGAATCACCAGAACATTCCTCACTGATACCGATAACCTTAAAGGGATAGTTCAGCCAAAAATGAAAATTCTGTCATCATTTACTCATGCTCATGTTGTTCCAAACCTGAAAAAATGTGAGAAATGTCTGTGTGTGTGTGTGTGTGTGTGTTTTTTTATAATAATACAATATTTATGTTTCTCAGCAGAAAGTAAGTCATCAGGTTTGGGATGAAATGAGGGTAAGTAAATTATGACCGAATTTTCATTTTTGGCTGAACTTATTAAGGTATAAAGGTGAATCTTAACTTGTCCAGGCCAGTACGAATGATATTATATTGTTTTTTTTATGAATGATAAATAATATACATTTTTTATGAATTATTTTTTTGTGCGTGGAAAAAAACTAAACAAAACAATATTTTAGGACCATTAAGACCTTTTGCATTTTGTGATTATTTCAATGAAAATTAAGTAAATTGTTTATATAAATCCCCCCGCATACTCTATCTTAATGAGAATGAGACTATTTAGCATTAAAAGAAAAAAGCTTAGCTGTCATAAAAATAATGTTTCAATGGATAGCCAATAAATATGAATTTCAAAATGCACTTTCTTGTTTCTTTCTTTCTTTTGATTTTGCAGTGAAATATGAGCTAGATATGTTCATGACGGGTTTTAGTGAGATTTAGCCATCAAGCTGTTCTGGTATTTTTACTTTAGGACAAACACATTCCTCTGCTAATGAGTTACTGGTGGTGAATCTACAGTAAGTCATCTATTTACACCATCTGAATTGCGAGAAGAAATGAACAAGCGAGATGTGTGTTCATCGACATGCCTGTAAGCTGGGAGGAAATCCACTTACTGTTGATTCCTCCAGAAACGTAATTAAGATTTTAAGGAGCAAGAGAGGCAGAGAGATAGAGAGACAGAAGAAAAGTGGAAGAAGTGACTGACCATTGATCTTTCAGATAGATCGATCAACATGTTAAGAGAATTAAGGTGGTGATTAGTGCCAGAAACACTTATACACTTCCAGCCTGAAGCGGGCAAGGGAGGGGTAAAAAACGCTTTCGGCGGCTTTCGGCCCTGTAGAGAGGAAGGCCTTACCTTGACTGTTTTTTTCACGGGTTGACATTTTAGCTGGGTACGGGACAGAAATAATAATTTCTCAAAAAACAAACACAGACTGACAGACAAGGAACAGTTTTATTGATGTATGGTAAGAGAGGCTTGTCAACAGTTTTTATCGATAAACAAGTTAAGAGCGGGTAATTAAAGCGGGATTAGTGCCAGAAACGCTTATAACCAGCCTGAAGCGGGTAAGGGAGGGGTAAAAAACGTTTTATCGGCGGTTTTCGGGCCCTGTAGAGAGGAAGACCTTACCTTGACTGTTTTTTTCACGGGTTGACATTTTAGCTGGGTACGGGACAGAAATAATAATTTCTCAAAAAACAAACACAGACTGACAGACAAGGAACAGTTTTATTGATGTATGGTAAGAGAGGCTTGTCAACAGTTTTTAAGATGGGTGTGATCATTAGAGAAGTCTGGAAGAACAAATAAGGAACCACAAGACACAGGAATGCAGTTTGTGTGTGTCTTTGCCAAGATTAAAATTACTTGAGAGATGGAGGTGGTGCTCACACCTGTTCTGTTCTCGGCCCAGGGCTAAATCCAGATTCGGGATAAGGTTGTTCCAGGGCGCACTCAGCCTGTGACCACCGGCATGAGATCAGTGCTAACAGTATTTTTCAGTGTTACCTCTAATCTTGCCAAGTGGCAATATGCTAGCTTTTAATTACAGCTATGAAATGCAAGTTGGCTACAGGGCACAGCTTAAATGTTTTTACAAATGAGAATTTGTATTTATCTAAGGTCTGACATATTGCACGAGGCACCAGTTTTGCTTGAACCACTGATACAGGAAATGAGAGGAGCACATGAGAAAAAGATGAAGTTGAAACAATAGATCACGTAAAAGGCAAAATGAGACTTTACCTTGGCTGATGACTGGATCTCTGTGTCTGAAGAGGAAATGGAAAGAAAATCAAATACTGTTAACATGAGACAAATAGTGAGTTCCAAAAATGGCACGTTTGTTCAACTTCAGGAATGTCTTAAAGGAACAGTTCCAAAATGAAAATTAATTTTATTGTCATCATTTGCTTACTCCTTAATACTATATTAACATATACAGTGTGTATATATATATATATATATATATATATATACATACATACATACATACATATATAAACAATACCTTTGTTGCAGTATTTATTAAGCTTTGTTAACGATAGTTAATTAAAATACAATAATTTTTATCATTCATTTATTCATTAATCGTTATCTTGTTAGTCCATGAAATAATGTTTACATATACAACTTTTGATTTTAATAATTTATTAGTAAATGCTGAAATAAACATTAACTAAGAATAATAAATGGTTTAGAAGTATATTTTATTGTTAGTTCATGTTAACTAATGCAGTTAACTGATGTTAATACATGTAACTTTATTGTGAAGTGTTACCAAAATCCCATAAAAGCACCACGAATGCACCATATCATAAGTTTTGTGTTATGGCGAGAGGGATTTTTTAAGTGAATGACCACACAAATTTCAGACATTATTGTTGGAAGACTTGGAATATATAGCTCACAATCCCCTTTCATTATTCATAATTTTTCATTTTCAGATTTGAGGAAAAAAAGAAAGTCATACAGGTTTACAACATCATGAGGGTGCATGAAGAATTTTTAAGCAAAAGCAAGTGCCATAGATAAATTAGATGATTTGTAATAACTCATGGCTAGGCCAGGATGGCATCTGTGGACTTTTTTTTGCATGTTATATGTTGAAATTGAATTAATTTTGCTGTTTGAATTTAAACTAATACAAAAGTGTTGAACAGCAAGTACCAAACTAAATATTGGTATATTACCAAAAAAAATTAAATGGAACATGGAATGCATTAAGCTTTGGTGTAACTTCATAAATGAGGGGCTTTCCAATTATGTGGACTTTCATTGAATTATTTTTCAAAGTCAAGAAAAATGACTTAAAGTGCCCCTATTATGCCATTTCCAATATTGCCTTTCATGCAGTGTGTAATGTAGCTGTATGTGAATGTAAACGATCTGCAACGTTGTAAAGCTGAAAGTGCACGATAAATAAAGTTATCGTCTCCCAACATAAAGAATCAACTCTGAACAGCTGAAACAAGTCATTAGTAATTCGAATCCCACATTTGCATAATGCGCGCCTATGTTCTATGTTGGCCGGCCGCGAACAACTTGACCCCAACCACAAACATCATTCTACTGACGACTGCTTCTCTAATCTCGGGGAGTTCAATAATGCGGGATTCACAAATTGCTTGCTGTTGAAAGATGGATCAGTATCATGTTTAGTTGGACCAGCTGCTCCACTGAATCACAACCTGTAAGTATGATAAATAGATGTTTATATTTTCTATAGAGCGTTCAAAATACAGAACTATTGAAATAGGCATATCGTTTCCGAAACGCGCTGTACGCCGTAGACCAATCACAACAGACTGGGCCATCTGACCAATCAGAGTAGAGCAGGCTCACGGAAAGGAGGGGTTTAGAGAGACTGAATCTTTGAACTGCTTCGAACGAATCGTTTGAGACTCGCTAGAAAATGAGGTGATATTAAATGCATATTTTGAGAAAACTAAAGCGTTTTTTGACCTTGCATGCATGTAATCCTCTTGTAGGAAACTCCCAAAACAATATTAGGAACCGTAAAAATGGCATAATAGGGGCACTTTTAAAAAAGCCTGAAGAATTGTTTCAAAAACACTTGAAAATTAGATTCTTTTTGTGCCTCTACTACCTCAGTTGGATGGCTTGTATGAGGACTCAAATCTACAGCGTGAGTCTTAGTAGGGCAAAGGGGACGGAAGGAACCTAACACTTACTTCTCTGCATTCTTCACCACTTTGGACAGCAGTTTGGAGGTGGAGGCAGCTTTCACCAGCTTATTCCTGTTCTCCTCTCCGCTGTCCCACGTGCTACTCTGAGAACGCTCCATTCCTCCACGCTTCGCACTGCTACCCCTGCTGCAGATGCAAAATACACAAGAAAAGCATGTAAGGGTTTCGCTGGAAAAGAAAGTGATAGCAGAGAAGCTGAAAGACGAGTCCAGGGGAGAAGTTAACAATTTAGAGGAGCGATATTGTAAGCTTGGAGGAGAACAATCCATTACATTTAAATAGATCTATATAGACCCACCAAAATGGGTCACATGTTCGTTCAGACAACTTTACTTAGGATGGAGTGCAAAGTCTAGATGCTAACTCTATCCAGGTCCTCCAAACTCAAATAACCACTCGTCTTCTTTGGTTAATTTCAAACTGGAAGCCAGAAAACAAGCAACGCCCCTTGAAAGTCAAAGATGCATCCCTCAGGTAAAATATCATGCATATGCCAAAGCACAATCCGCTCGATGGTTAGTACACACACAGGGGAGCTGAAAAACTTGAAACCCAGTCCCTGTGGTAAATTGCATGAGATTGTTCGGGAAAAAGACGCCTCACAGCATAGCTAAAGGAAGGTAGAGAAGGAAACACATCAGAGTTTTAGAAAGGGAAAACAGAGGAGTGTTATCCTCACGCGAAGCTGTTTGCAAGAAGAAAACGTTAAGAGTGTAAAAACAAACTTGTTTTCTGGACCAAAGCATCTACACTAGTACTCAGCAACCCAATGTCCAATTTATTCGCTATGGGAGCTGAACCAGAAGCTCATTTTGACAGAAAAGTAGGAGGTGCAACAAAAATGCTGGGAGAATCTGAACTTTAAGCAAATTAAGGCCAAAAAATAATAATAATTAACGATGGCTCATCTTGGGACTTGAACCAACAAACTTCAGTTCACCAGCCCTGAACTTATAGCCATTTACACCATATCTCTCAACCTTAATGGAGAATATGAAGGTCAAGGCAGGGGAGCATGGGGAAAAAATTTGGTAGAAGTGATCCAGAAACTCACAGATGTACACACAAACATTAAAGCCAAAAGTATACTTCGGTTTTTAGATATAATTCTCTATACACATGAACTCGCTCCTTGAATGCACCTTGAAGTTTCGCACAAATTAATTTGCCCACAAGTTGGTTCGGATGTCGTTTCACAGTTGAACATTAAACTGAGGAGACGGCACAACAACAAACTTGTCAAGAGTGCACCAACAATAGACATCCATGTTACAAGCGCTTGTGTGAGGGAGTTAAGAGATACTCACAATTCTAGTTTAAACAAGTACAAAATAAATTTTTATCAGTCATAACTTCTACAGAGAAATAGCGCAGACACTGGACAAGGACAAACCTTTCTAGAGCGCAAGTGTCGAACGTCTGTGTTTAAACGGTGTATACTTTGAAAGGCTGTGCATTCGGCATTTGAAGAGTTCAAGTTAGAACTGAAGTATACTTTGGGCTTAAGGCCATTAAACAGGTCAGAGCTGTAGCAAAGTACCTCCAACCTCACCAAACACGGGAGTAAAAGAGGAGGGAAGGGAAGGGAATGGATAGTACTCCAGGGCAGAGCGGACACACTTCCACATGTGAAAAACTGGCTTGAGTTCTACATATAGGGCCACCTGTGAGGTATACAGGTCTAACGATGTCGATCCCTAGTATATGTGTGATAAAAGTTGTGTGAGTGCTCCACATGACTGTATTGTAATATACCATCTATCAAAAAATGACCATGTAATGCCATGGTACTATCTTATTTGGTCTACTAGCTACACCAGTTGAGTTTTGCTGGTTAACTGCATTACTAGCAGAAACCTAGACCAGCATTAACATCTATGCTTGTTTGACGTCTTATAAGCAAAAACACCACGTAAAATGTATCCATCCTGCATTTACTGCATATTTTTTTTATTTCTAAGAGTTCTTCTTTTCCAAGAAAATAAAGACATCACATAACCATCACTATATTGCCATCTGTACAATCTCTGCAAGATTTCTAGAACACATTGTGCTAACAATGACAAATTTAGCATAGCTGATGTTAATTATCTATAAGAAAGCTCAAGCCTTTGCTAGTGTGAGTGGAATACTCATTGATTGCAGAGGCTTTTTTAAGTAATGTGACTGTGGCAAAATCCAGGCTAATAATCTTCTTGCTGCATCGTCTAACAAGCATGGATCGGGCCGTGAAATGACATTACGGAGACAGCTAATTGGTTTTCCACTTCTCTTTAGCTAATTGGATGGGACAGCTTGCAGAGTCAATATGAATAACTCAGCAGGCGTGCTCTTGGGTTATTAAGTACAGACTAGAAGGTTTGCTAATGGTGTTGAAGCATGGCTGGTCTAATGTGTTAGCCTGATTACTCTGCGGATTATTAAGCAAGAACCAAGGGTTTGAGCACTGAGAGGACATCACATCTGCTTTCCATTACTTTCCACTTCTCGGTGGACTGCTCAGAGTGATCCAGAGCATAACACATTCTGACCTATACTGTCAGCCTGATGCTAGCAGGACATTTAGCATAGAACGAGGGACAAGCAATGATAAATGATGAGAAATCAATTTGTGTTTATAAAAACCTCATTTCCAGGCTCTTAAATTACTAATGCGTATTGATGAAAGTTGTGCGCAAGATAAAAAAAAGAAATAAATAAACACTTTTATTCAGGATGTATTAAATTGATCAAAAGTAAATGATGGAAGTAGAAAGTTAAAATACTTTTACCAACAATAACAAAACTTTTCATATATATATAAAATAAAAATCTGCATTCGAATGCAACGTTAGGTGTGCGTTAAGGAGGCAGCCTTATCAGCGGCGCACAAGACGATGTAAGTGTCATGGCATTATAATGTTTTTGTTAGCCTATCCAGTTGAAGCCAATAGATGCGGCGCTGCTGAGTTGTTCATTAAAAACATTGCGGAAAAAGAGAACATCAATGCGGAGATGATGTTGTTTACATCAAAACTGAAACCAAGCCATTCACACAGAACACATATTTTGTGCATTTTCTAGAGGGACATCTATTACCGTTGCACTCGCATCTCGCACAAAGGAGCCGCATGTTTAGAAAGCCATGTAAAATTAATGCAAGTTTAACTTAGAAAAAAAAACATATATCGAGACTTTATGGCTGTTTTTTTTCCCCATCCCATTGCAACTCGTTTTTAAATGAGAAATCCACTCCTGTGGGATTGACTTTCTGCCCTTTGTATTAAACTATGAATACATACATACATGATGCTGTTTTGTTTATAGTTGTTTAGGCAACTTAATTAATTATAATTGGTTTATAAACATTCATCACAGATAGTCATTTTATCTTATGCTTTGAATAAACGTGCATTAGTAATATTCTGCTCGATGTGCCCTCTTGTGGCCTCAGAAGAGAAGCCAAAAGCTTTTCTTCACCCTAACTGAAATTATGCATTTTAAATTGGAATATAATTTGAATTTTGATAATATTTAAGTACAAAAATTTGAATTTAGTTTTTCAGCCATTTTGACAGCCCTAATATAAACATTTTATATATATAAGCATAAGATACCTTTTTAAAAAGACATTAAATAATAATTATTATTCTTAATAATAACACATTTTAATACTGATCCGAAAATTTGTAACGATAGTGTTTATATTTAAAAATACATTTATATATTTTATATTGTTTTTATACCTTTATACTGTTGTTATACTTTTTCAAACGTATCAATGAAAAGTGAATATTTTAATAATTACTTTGTAATGTACCTTCGTTTTTGATCTTATAACACCATTTCCAATGCTTTATGGGGTTGGTTTGGTCCAAGACATTTAGTTAATAATTTTTCAAAATCCCTATGGAGAAAATGAATGGGAAAAATACTTCCGGAACCAAGGCAGATAAAAAGTGGACTGTTGTGAATAAAAACTGCTGTGCTCTATTGATCGAGGAAGCATGTCAGCCCTGCCCCTTGGCTTTACGTCAATAGGTTGCGAAAGCGCTGCAAGCAGATTGTCAAACACTGCTCGAATACTGCCAGAAATTGCATGGCTGTTGGGAGGAACCTTTTGGCCAGGGTTGACCCCTTGTTCTCCGAGAGCTGTCTTTGGGGCAGTGGGGGATGAGGGGAGGGGGGGTTGCTGGAAGGGGACGGTGCCTGGGGGGTGCTGGGTGCTGAGGGGGTTTTATCGTTAGCTTGTGGAGGCTCTTCTTTCTCCTTGATCCCCTCCATCGGAGGCTTGTCTTTTTTACGCTCGCCACCACTGCAAAAACAACATGCAGGTCAACAGAGGAAGATCTGATACACATGAAAAGATGAGGAGAGCTGAGCATCTCAACACTGAGGTGAAACCCTCACAGACTTTCAGATGAATATATTTCTTCAGGCTGAAAGAACATCACACATTAAACAGAGAACATCTGATTGGACCAACATTTGAATACGTCAGCGAAAGATGAGATGTCAATATTTTGGGAGCATTTTTCCAATTTTAAAAGCGTCAGTCATGGAGGTTTGCCACTACAACTCATTGTGATTATCTCCCTAATCTAACACACCTGCTTCAAATCATCAGCTCATTAGTGGAGAGCTGAAATGGGTCAGAGAAGGGAGACATCCAAAATGTGTAGAGGAGGCTGAGATCATTTGCATATTTCAGTTGTGTGTGTGTGTGTGTGTGTGTACCTGATATTCCCTACATTTTGAGGACCAAATGTCCCCACAAGTATAGCAATACTAGTAAATGTTGACCTTGTATGGACATTTTTTAGGTCCCCAAGAGGAAACAAGCTCATAAATCATACAGGATTAAGTTTTTTTTTAATTCAAAAACGCTTGTAGTTTTGTGTGAGGGGTAGGGTTAAGCGAAGGTACAGTACAGTATAAAAACCATTACATCTATGGAATGTCCCTACAAAAAATAGAAACCAGTGTGTGTGTGTGTGTGTGTGTGTGCACGCATTACCTCTTAGCGGCAGAGGAGAGTGTCCCTTTCTTTGCTATGGACACTGTGGAACTATCTCTGTGAGATTTGCGGACACTGGAACTGCCATTGGCAATACAGGACATTGAATAGGCCTCACGCAGCGGGGTCTGACCTGCAGGAGACACGTCACACATCGGTTTTAGTCCATCTTATACCTCAAAACAATGACTGAAATCTCAGCATCGCAACAAATTTACTGCACAGACCTTCTATTAGGATTGCCACACCCTTTCACTTTTAATTTTCCAATTGGATAAGCTTTTTATATATACACATACATACATACATATATATATATATATATATGAATGGTCTTTTTTATATTAATAGTAACACTTTACACTTTAATAAGTTTTCCTTAGATAACATTAATGCACTGTTAACTAACATGAACAAACAATGAACTGTATTTTTATTAAATAACATTAAGATTTATAAATACTGTAAAACATCAGTTAGTTTGTGTTAGGTAATGCATTAACTCATGTTAAATATATGGCTTGTTTCTGTGGATTTAAAAAAAATATATTAAAAAGGTAATTGCAACCTTTTAACTGCAACTTTTTCTCAGAACTGTGAGATAAAAACTCACATTTGTGAGAAGAAAAAGCCAGGATTGTGAGAAAATGTTGCAAATACCTTTTTTTATTTCATGGCAGAAACAAAGCAAACAAATAAAATAAAATAAAAGACTCAAAGAGACTCAGCATTCAGAGGGAAAAAAGTCAGATTTGATTTATTTAATTCCATGGCAGAAATGCGCTTCCCTATAAATGGGACCTTTTTGTAAAAATGTTACCAAATTCATGCAGAATATCTTATGAATATTCATAAAAAAAAGGATTAATATTTTAATGCTGAACATTACTATGTAAGATTCTAAATATAATTTAAATATTCAATAAAAGATTTAAATGAACTAAAGACATTTCCAGACTCTTCCGTGACTTAAGATTCTATTGATTTCTATGACTTTTGCATGCTTGGAAATCATCAAATTAAACCTGCTCAACAGTCAGGAAATAAGAGATAGACAGGATAGACTGGGAGGATCGTGTCTGACTTAAATAGGGCAGCAATCCAGACATGCTAACTGGATTAGTCACCTGATATACTAGTCCATCTAAATTACAGTACCACTGACATAAAAAGATGCAATGACATTCATACTGTAAATTGTAATAAGTGTGGCTTAAGTGTTCAAAACTTGGTGCCACCGTATGCAGAATATTTCAAATAACATGAAATAAAAGACACCATAGCAACATCATCAAGCATTTTCTAAACTGATGATCATAAGAACTTTTTTCTTGAGCAGCAAATCAGCATATTATAAAGATTTCTGAAGGATCATGTGACACTGAAGACCTGAGTAATAATGCTGAAAATTCAGCTTTGACTTTTTTTTACATTTGATTTTGAAGTAATTTGTATAGACAGTATTGTGTACAGTATATATAAAGTTCTGATCTGTATTCTTAACGTATAGTGAGCACCAAAAGACCAGACCAGAATGAAAATCGGTGATTTATTTTCCATTTTAACCTGGTTTTGAATACATTATTCTAGAGTATATTATACATTGCAATGCAAAAACGAATTAAATTAGAAAGAAAAAGAATAAACAACAGAAGCAGTCTCAGATGTCTGGATCCTAGCTGAGACACACAGACTCGTGTTAAACTAGCATTTGGCCTTCTTGTGGTTGTCCTGAAACACTACAGAACACACTGAGGTGTCCATTTGAGCTTGGTATTCTCACGCTAAACGTCAGTGCCATGATTGCAATGGTTTGCATCAGCCATGCTATTTAAAACTCTCTCTGAATGGCCTGCACGTGGAAATGTCTGATTTAGGTTCTTGGCTGCTCACCGGTCGCTTCACTTTGACACCTTAGCTTTGTGAGAGAGACTGACGCCTGGGTAGCTATTGTGTTACGGCACCCTGCAGTCATTGCGTGGTGGATTCGATTAACCGTTTCTCTCCAGGGCACGCGTACGTGTGTATATTATCTTAGGAGGCGGCGATGCAGTGTCAGTACCACATGGCTCCGTTTCACGCTCCATTAGCCCACAACAAAAACACGCAGTGTGTGGCTGAACTCATCAGACTGTTGAGAGATGTGATGTGTGCGTGCGCTTGAAAAAAAACTTCAACCGCTTTTTTTCTCTACAGTGTTCCAGATAAAATCGAGGCATGTTTTTTTTTTTTTTTTTTGAATGTTTAGAAATATTTAATGCATCAACAAATTTAACAAGATATTAATAATCTAGCTCTCTTGGTTTGTTTTCAAATTAAAACAGTTCCAGCTCCACACAGAATCTGCAAGTATTTGTATATTTTCTATGCTGATTTTATGGGACAATCTGCAAAATTCTGTGAAATGCATCTGAACACCATACACAGTCTTTATTGCTAGGGCTGCCTACAATGAACAACTATTTTGATGATCAACTGATTCAACAATTATTAGAACTACCAGTATGTTTGCAAATGGACTGTATTGTTTTGCCCATTGAAGGAAAAAAAAAATATATATAAAAACCTTAGAACAACTGATTGTCATTTCAGCTTTTGTATTCAACATGTGCTAACTAACAATAAAGACAAGATAAAAAACATATTTAAAAAAGACCACAGATAAACTACTTAATATGAATTAATATTAATATTACAATTTATAGTAAATAATAATAATAATGTTTATTTATGCATTTGGAAGACACTTTTGTCCAACATGACCTACATTGCATTATTATTATTAGTATTGTTATTGTTATTGTTGTTGGTTTTAAGGTTAGGGTTAGTTAATTATTATTACATGTTAATAATGTTTAATAATATTAATAATACTAATAATTACAAATAATATATATTACGAATATACAAATACAGTATTAATAGTTTTTGATTTGTATTATTAATGTTTTTGTTGTTGCTAATCATTTTTAATAGTAGTAGTAGTAGTAGTAGTAATTACAAATAATATACTACTAATATAGTATTATTATTATTATTATTATTATTATACCAAGTACCAGGATTATACACAAAAAAAGGAAAAAATGCACTTTCAGGCTCTTAGGAACAGAACTCTAGTCAAATGAAAAAAAATTGTTTAAATGATATTCTGACAAAGTCATATTACATTCTTGCCCCATTACTGCTAGCTAGCCAAAATATGTAATAAACAAACATGCATGGGGTAGGAGAAGGGTCAAACTTTTCGAATTACAGACGCTGTGATTCTGTGGACGTTGGGCTGTCATAAAGGAATTCTGTGTTTTTCCATGTTTAACAGTTAATGTCAAACAAACTGCACAGTCTTTTATTTTTGACATCATACTGTTATAACTAAGGAAACTTCATCTTTCAGACTCGTGTCTCAGTAATAGGTGACTTTACTCGAAGCTCCCGCTGCCGTCACAACAGATCATGCTGTTTGGGTCAAAGAAATATTTAATGCGTGCGTTTAGAGAGTTGGCCTTCATGGACAGAGATTGAGCATTCAAGCATAAGATTATCATTTCCTGTGTACGGTTCTGTATGGGTGGGTATGTGTATGTGTGTGTGTGTGTGTGTGTGTGTCTAGTCAGCACAGCCGCACAGGAAGTCCTCATGTGACCTCACTCCAACAGGAAACCAAGGAATTATCTGCCTTCCATCAGAAGCCTGTCACTAGCCGTTCGTCTCCAAAACCACTGGTATTCTCCATCACTTTCATGCTCAAAATACAGGACAGTTTGCTGGATTTACGTATATAGTCACTCTTAATCACATTCAGTGCACTTCATATGATAGAAGACACTCATACTAGAATTAAAAACATCTCGATAACAGCCTGCCTTACTGAACCAGAGGGCGTGCGGAAATCGGTTCAAATTTATTTCATGATAAGCCAAATAAGTGATCAGAAAAATCGCAAAAACAATAAATCAAAGTGTAGCATTAATCTGTAACTGGGAAAAGTGGTTTGTGAAGGAACCAGCGCTTCTCTGTTCCTTAGTGAATTGAGCCCTTTCGCAGATATTGTCCAGAGAGCAGCTGGTTAAGGATACACTGAGGTTTGGGAGAGGACTTGAGTGGAACGACTGAGAGTTTGGGGAAAGATACTAGTGTGTGGGGGATTATGGGAACTGAGGGGGAATAGATGGGGGATTGAGTGTGATAGGAGCAGTGAGTCAGCATGGTGAGAAAGAAAGAGAAACGGAGGAGTAAAAGTGAGAAAAATGGGTCATAATGGGCGCAGTGAGTAAATATGGGCAGTGGAAAGAAAATGTGCTTCATTCAGGGACTGAGAATGTGAAAAATGAGAACTAACAACCATCACATGACACAATTTATAACGAAAATAAATGAACAGAAACCAAAAAGAAATGTAAGCGCAAGTACTCAAAAATGCATATTTTTCCCCCCACAGAAATGCACATTTGAAAGTAAATAAATTCATTTTAAATTCTAAATGTACTGGTATTAATAACAATAGCATTAAACTAATTTATACACTATGGCTCTAAAGATTTTTAATGTTCTTTAATACATTTCTTAAATGCTTCATTAATTTGAGCAATATTGTAACATACTACTACACATTAAAATAACTTCAATATATTCATTTGAATATATTCTGAATAAATGTCATTTATTCCTCTGATGGCAGAGCTGAATTTTCAGCACCATTACTCCACTGTTCAATGTCACATTATCTTATTATCACATTTCTTATTATCAATGTTAAATACAGTTGTGCAGATTACAAATGTCTTTACTGTCATTTATGTCATTTATTGCATCCTTGCTGAATAAATATTAATATTAATTAATATTAATATCTTCAATAAATCTTTCTGATCCCAAACGTTTGAACAGCAGTGTATAAAATATTTTGACTGTAGGATTAGATTGGAACTGCTTAAGAGAAATATATATATATATATATATATATATATATATATATATATGACAAGTGTTTTTAGTAAGGATGGAGTCTGCATGCTTATAATAAATAATATCACTATTTTGAAGTTTGCTTTGGCTATTAGCTTCAAGTTTTGATGACTATTACTGTAAAATGTGGAAAACAGTCATGATGAAGAATGAGTAGTGTAGCTGTCCAAGCTGTGTTCTGTGTTGAGGCAGAGGTTGGCCTTCTTTCTGATGGTTTTGTCTGGCAATTGCGGTTCAGGGCTTGAATTTCTATTTTGTTTAGAGGCGTGGTTTCGTTTTGCCTGTTTTCATTGCTCACTGCCTGAGAATTTTTATTTTTTCTTCTTGTTTTTTTTTCTTCTTTCATTTGGTAAAATTATTTCTAGGCCCAGCCCTGTATGTTTTTAAAGACAGAAATTCAACCTGTCCTGGCAGTCCTGGTGTTCTATGTCCATCACGTGACCGGCACATTTACACAGAGCAGATCAAATGTCTGAACACACACATTCTCTCTTCCATACACATACTAATACTACCTTTAACTCTTTCCCCGCCAGCATTTTTGAAAAAAGTTGTCAGCCACCACCAGCGATTTTGATGATTTTCACTAAAATTTGATGGCCTCCAGAATATTTTGCTGTATGAATACTTGAATATGCAATACACCAAAATAAAGATCAGAGCCTCTACTTTTAAACAAAAAAGAAAATAATTTTATTCTAGCTTAAATGCTTAAAGCATTCTTTTTTTATCAACACTTGAATATAGGTAGGTTTCATAAAAATGCATACTTTTGAGCAAAAAGGTGAGAAAATCACAATTTTATAAAAAAAACTACATTTGGGTAATATTCAGTACGATTATCAAAGCATAAATCCAGTAAATTGCTTCTATCAACACCTCCAAAGCTTGCACAGACATATACCACTTCCGGAATCAACATTTTACTCCGTAACATTATGCAGTTTTCATTTATATGCTGCCATTGCCGATGATCGCATTATTTTTCATATGCATCTGTTTACATAAGAGGTCGCTAGTTTCTCCGTCATGTTCACGTGTGGTTTTGTTCGGGAGGTTTTGTACTCATTCAGAAGATGTGTAATAGCGCCCCCTAGTGAATAACAGTGAAAACACGAAAAGCCGTAAAAACTCGTCGTTGGCGGGGACGCGTTGTATTCTAAAAGACGAGATAACTCGTCAATGGCGGAAAGAGTTAAGCGTCGTCACACTAGACTTAAAACTAAACTATGTATAATACAAATTAAAATATTTATACAAATGTATAATATATCAATAATACTGTCTATTCAAAGTATGCAATTTTAGTAGTCAAAACCCTGAAAACAGTGAATTTCAGGCCTGGGAAAGTCTGAGTAAAATCTTCTAAAGTCATGGGAATTTTTATAATGAATATGAATCTTTCTAGGTTTGTTCTGCTGTATAATATTTCATTGAGATGAAACTGCTCTTTGTTATTGCTTGTGTTGAGTAAAACATTCGTCTGTCCAGTGGTCTAATTGGAGACATATATTGCATATTGCACACTAATATGTATAATTATTCAAGTCTATTTTTTCCATCATCTGACATACAAATGGAAATCTAAGTCAGCAGTCTTTGTAAAATAGGAAGAATGACTTGTGAATGGAGCATGAGGTCTAGTGTGACCGCAACTTTGGTCCCGTCATGGATGGGCGGGAGGTGTCACTGAAATATACTGCTAGTGCTCTTCATCTCTTCTGTCTTCATATGTACAATAATTCATTCGCTTCATTCATCCACTCCCGCCTCCCTCATACATTTACAAGCCCTTTTTAGTTTGAGGATTTTTGTTGCTGTTGTTTTTTTAAGAAGAGGGTACCATAATACTTTCTAAAACATTTATGGAACAAGAAACATTTACGGTTTCACTTGATATTTCTAAAAACCAGTGACTGGTAGCAGATGAATAGGTAATCCGCCCAAAACGTCATCGGCTGAGTAAGCTGTCAACATGTTGGGCCTCTCAAACAAACAGAGCAATGTTTTGTCAGCACCACACTGTTTACACTCTTCATAAGTCATCCTTAGTTTTTACATATTAAACCAGGAAATGAGATAGTATTTTAACATCAAAAAACTTAAAGCTGCATAAAGTATACATAAGTTATATACGTGTGTGCGTGAGAGTGAGAGAAACAGGGCGGGAGGCAGTCAGTATGTTTTATACGGTGTGTTAAACGGAGAACAAAGTGAAGTCAGTTTTAATGGCAGCCCCCAAGATATATATATAGATATATATAGATATATATATAGATATATATAGATATATATATATAGATATATAGATATAGATATATAGATATATATAGATATATAGATATATATATATAGATATATATATA